CACCCCTGTGCGATTCCTCTGGAGCGGCGGCTGCTGCGAGGGGCCCGGGAATCAATTAATCAATGGCAATCAAGATCCCAAGGTGCAATCATAATTAATGTTCATCCCTGATTGATCATGTCGTGGTTTCGCCGTGTTCACGTGAGCTGGGATGAGAAAACCGACTGTCCAGCAGTGCCTCTGCAGATCCCTTCCCGTTCCCAGGGCTCCCCAGGGTGTCCCTCTCCTGCAGGGGGGACAGAGGTGACACCTCAGGAGAGCTGAGGAGCCGTCTGGGGAGACGTGGGACCTCGGGGGGAGTTGGATCTGCCGGGAGCAGGGTGTTTGTGCACAGGGCAGGTGACAGGGGTGCTCTGGGAGGGCACCAGGGTGTCACCCATCGGGTGGGTGTCACCACTGGGTGCCACAGGCAGCACCGGGGGGGGGTGTGTGTGTGTGCAGCCTCTTCCCCAGCTCGTCACTGCCAGGAAGAGGAACTGCAGGGCTCTGCCCAGAGCTGGCTGGGAGCCCTCGGAGTGTCACAAACCCAGTGTAACTAGACTTGGATCAATCCGTCAATGCGCAGCGGTGGTTAAATAGTGCTGTGCTCACCTCCCTCCAATTAAACTATCATTTCTGATAGATCCCTTTGTGCCTCCTCCCCCCGGAGGGCTGCTCGGCCCGAGGGCGATGATGATGATGGTGGTGGTGGCCACAGCACGGAGGAAGCTCCTTCCTCCTGCCGCAGATCCCCGCTGGCCGTGGGCACGGTGCTCCGGAGGGATGGGAAGGTTCCTCCAGGGTGGCTGCAGTGCTTGGAAGCCCAGGAGAGGACGAGCCCCGGGGACCACCTGTAGTTCCGTTCCCGGGTGCAGATGGGAGCGGTGGGAGCAGGAGGCTGTGCTGGTGGCACAGTTCTCCTGTGTCCCATGTGCTGCTGGGTGATCCCTGCCCGTGGATGGGGCAGGGGGAGCAGCCCCACTCCCGGAGCTCCTGGATACTCCCCTGCCCTCTGGGTCAGGGACTCCACTCCAGAGCTCGCACTGGCTTCAATCCCTCACCCCCTGTGTGGGCCCTGGCTGCTTCCTCAGCACCCTCTGGAATCAGCTGGGCAACTGCAGCACATGGGGCTCCGTCTGGTCCCTCCAGTCCCACTAGGAATTCAGGATAGGGCTCAGCCCCATCTCAGCCCCCCAGAAAGCTCAGAGCCCCCCTCTGCCCCACAGACCTTTGTCTGCAGCCTCACACTCACAGCTTGGGGGATGCCAAAATTTCTCCTCCTCTCCCACTTCTGAGGGGCTGCAGGGGGGTGCCTGGCTCGGGGGGGCTGTCCAGGGGCCACTCCACAGGGTGCAGAAGTTGGGGGGTGCCCGGGGGGCGCAGCAGCAGCAGGGCCTGGCGGGAGCCCATGAAGCAGAGCCGGGTATTGATTTCCCATTGATCCCATGCAACCACATTCTGCAGCGGCTGCTGTCCTACATTTCAATCCCACACCTTCGCCTCTGACTTTAATGGGCTTCATCACAGCCCAAAGCTTTATTTAACCAAGAGGGGAGGGAACGGCGGGCGGCTGCCAGAAATCAGAGCAAGCAGGGCCCCCGGGGTCTGCCTGGATCCCTCTGGATCCCTCCCAGCTGCCCCGAGCACTGGACGGGTTTCCTGAGCGTTTTGGGGGATGTGGGTGCACCCACACAGCCCTGATGGGAGGGTGCTCTGGGTGCTGGTGACAGCACTCCTCTCTCCAGCAGCTCTTCCACCCCGAGGTCTCTCCCCACCCCATCCCTGCTGCACCTGCACGGCTCCATCTCCCGAACAAAGGGCTCCAACCGCTGCCGGAAGGGCAAAACGAAGCTCCACCTTAGCGGGGATGTGCATAATGATGAGTGTGGAGGCTCTGCACACCCACCCAGCCCCAGATGTGAGGCTGCAGACAGCACACGTACCCCCCCGACAGCTGGAAGATGAATATGGAGGAGCTGGATCCGGTTAGGGATGCCTGCGTCTTCCAGGGGCGTTCCTCGAGCATCCATCAATGCAGATCGATGTACGGGGATACAAAATGTGGGGATCCAGCTCCTGCTGGCAGCCCGGGGAGTGGGAAGCAGGGAGACAGTGCAGGCAGAGCAGGGAAACACAGGGAGAAGCAGCTGGGAACGGGGTTGCACCCGGGAGTGGGGATGGAGAGGGTGGGAGCATCAGCCAAACCCTCCTGGACAAGGATCCAGAGGTGGGAGAAGGAGCCAGTGGAAAGGAGGGATGGTCGGTGCTCATGGGCTGCTCAGGCCTCCTGCCCTGGTAGAGGCAGGGCAGTGTCCTTCCTCCTCCTTTTCCAGGTTATCCTGGACTGTGTGGGTGACAGGCACTGACATGCCAGGCTGGTGAGTATTCCAACAATCCCAAAATGTCTCCCCAGAGGCTGCCAGTAGCTCAGGGGAGCTATGGCTGGGAGCAGGACACGAGAGCAGCAGGGGTGGAGGAGCTGGGTGAAGGTGGGTGGGGAGACCTGGGAGCAGGAGGGATGGAGGAACTGGGAGGAGGAAGAGATGGAGGAACTGGGAACAGAAGGGATGGATGAACTGGGAGCAGGAGGGATGGAAGAACTGGAGTTAGGAGGGATGGAGGACCTGGGAGCAGGAGGAATGGAGGAACTGGGAGCAGGAGGGATGGAAGAACTGGAATCAGGAGGGATGGAGGAACTGGGAGGAGGAAGAGATGGATGAACTGGAAGCAGGAGGGATGGAGGAACTGGAATCAGGAGGAATGGAGGAACTGGGAGCAGGAAGGATGGAGAACTTGGGCAATGGGAAGTACCCAAGAACACCAGACTCTCCCGGTGGCTGCTGGCTCAGAGTCCAGCTCCAGGACTCATCTCAAGAAGCCTTTTAGCACTGATTTCCATGGGAGAAGCTTGAAGCCAACGTCAGTCTCTTCAAAAGAGTCCCCACTGCCATCCCCCTGTTCCCAGGCAGCTCGGAGGGGCTGAGGGAACCTCTCTGCAGGGCTGGCTCTGCATCCTCCAGCCCACGCTCCTGCTCTCCCTGGGGCAGAATATGGATGCTGTGTTTATTTTTGATTTATGCCAAGGCGAAAAAGAAATACATTTTCTTCAATTATTAATCAGCGAGGTGTGAGAGGGGGACACGAGCTGGAAATTAACTCTGTGACCTTTGGGGGGGGTTGCCTCCCTGCCTCCCCCCACTCTGGAGCCCAGAGCATTTTACCCAGAGTATTTTCCCAACCCTCTCAGCAGGAGCGGGGCTGCTCCTGTGACCAGCCCTGGGCAGACACCCCCAGACGTGCTGAGGGGGTTTAGATGATGGGGACCGTGTGTGATGCAGGGAGCCCAGCCCCAGGCCCAGGCTGGGCCTCCAAAGCCATCCTGGCCACCTGGATGTATGTTCAGAGCCTCCCCATCCACCTGTGGATGGCCTGAGCCCAAAGGGTGTCCATGATCCTGATCAACCTTCCCTTCCCTGCTCTGTCCCACCACACCTCCCTCGATGCCTCTGGGTATCTGGCTGTCCCTGGGTACCACAGAATCCCAGGATCACTGAGTTTGGAGAAGACCTCTCAGCCCATGGATCCACCCTGTGCCCAGTGCCCACCTTGTCCCCCAGCCCAGAGCACTCAGTGCCAGGTCCAGTCCTTCCTTGGACACCTCCAGGGGTGGGGACTCCACCACCTCCCTGGGCAGCCCCTGCCAATGCCTGACCACCCTTTCCAGGAAGAAATTCCTCCTGATGTCCAACCTGTACCTCCTCTGGTGCAGCTTTGGGTTGTTTTCCCTTGTCCTGTCCCTTGTTCCCTGGGAGCAGAGCTCGACCCCTCTCCCTGCTCTCCCCTCCCATCAGGGAGTTATAGAGAGTGAGAAGGTCCCCCCGAGCCTCCTTTTCTCCAGGCTGAGCCCCCCCAGCTCCCTCAGCTGCTCCTGCTGCCCCAGCCCCTTCCCCAGTTCTGTTCCCTTCCCTGCACACGCTCCAGCCCCTTCCCCAGTTCCATTCCCTTCCCTTGAGGGCTCCAGCCCCTCAAGGTCCTTCTTGCTGTGAGGGGTCCAGAGCTGGGCACAGCACTGAGGGTGGGGTGTCACCAGTGCTGTGCAGGGAGGGACAATCACTGCCCTGGTCCTGCTGGTCCTACTGTTTTTGACACAAGCCAGGAGATGCCCTTGGCCTTCTTGGCCACCTGGTCCTGCCATGCACAGGGGCAGCACAGGACACCCCGACCCCACCTCTGCTCCCACACAGCGACTGTCCCCTGGGGAGAGACACAGACCCTCTGGGGAGCAGATCAGGTGCCCCACAGCTCCCCACACCCACCTGGGTGCCCTCAGTGGGCTCTGAGCCAGGACAGACACCACTTCTCCCCCTCCCTCCTTTGGCTCTTGGCTTCTGCTCTTGGCACGGGATGGGCACCCATCTGAGGAGGCTTTGGCAAGGAGGCTGCTGGGCAGGACAGAGGAGGATTTTTGGACTGCTCCTCCACTCTGCTGCCTTGAAAACACCCCCCAAGCCAACAGGCGAGGCCAGAGCTCGACGCGGACGGGCGGAGAGGCCCCGAACTCCAAGAACTCCACGTTGGCCTCGGGAAGTTGGAGCGTCCCCGGCGCAGGCGCGGCGCGGCCTCCCTGCCCCCTCCTGTGCCGCTGCCTCCCCCCTCCCCGAAAGCAGCACTGCGGCAGCAGCACCAGCAAACTGATCAAGGCCCGGGGCTGATCAATAGGGTATCGAGCTCTCTGCAAGGTACGCTGAGTTTTGCGGATTCAGTGGTAACCTCACGCCGAGCTGCCTCCTTCTCCCCCAGCACCGCCACCCCCAGCGCCAGCTGTGCCACCTTCTCCCTCTGGGCTGTGCCACCTTCTCCCTCTGGGCTGTGCCACCTTCTCCCTCTGGGCTGGCAGGGACGCTCAGCCTGCTCCCAGGAGGAAGCAGAGACCTTGCAGGCTCCAGCCCCTGGTGGCACTTCCAGAATGGTCCCAGGGGGGTTTCGTCACAGTGGGGTCATTCCGCAGTCTTGGGAACCGGGGCAGCTCGTGGGGTTCAGAGAGTCTTTAGAGAGGTGCATCCAAGCTGTGAGATTCCCAGGGATGGCAATGGATGAGCTGGGATTGTTGTGATGGTGGGAAGGAGAGGGCTGAGAACACCTCAGGGTGTCCTTGACCAGCAGCGTGAGGGAGGGGATCCACTCCCTCTGCTCCACTCAGGTGAGACTCCACCTGCAGAGCTGCCTCCAGCCCTGGGGAACAACAGCAGGAGGTTGTGGAGATGATGGAGGAAGTCCAGAGGAGGCCACGGAGATGCTCCAGGGCTGGAGCCCCTCTGCTCTGGAGCCAGGCTGGGAGAGCTGGGGGGGTTCACCTGGAGGAGAGAAGGATCCAGGGAGAGCTGAGAGCCCCTTGCAGGGTCTAAAGGGGCTCCAGGAGAGCTGGAGAGGGACTGGGGACAAGGGATGGAGGGACAGGACAAGGGGAATGGCTTCCCAGTGCCAGAGGGCAGGGTGAGATGGGATATTGGGAAGGAATTGTTGGCTGTGAGGGTGGGGAGGGGCTGTCCCAGGTTTCCCAGAGCAGCTGTGGCTGCCCCTGGATCCCTGGAAGTGTCCCAGGCCAGGTTGGACGGGGCTTGGAGCCACCTGGGCTAGTGGAAGGTGTCCCTGCCCAATGGCAGGGGGTGGCACTGGATGGGTTTTGAGGTCCCTCCCAACCCAAACCCTCCTGTGAGAACCATCTGTGCCTCATGGGACTGAGCTGAGGGCGATGGTGGGAGGGGGGAACCCTCCGGCAGCCCCTCCTTGGATGGAAAGTGCAGGAGGATCAAGGACCCACCCCCCGCTCTGTGGCACTGCAGGAGGTGTCCCTGGAACCCTGGCTGGGTGTTCCTGGGCTGCAGCTCCCAGGAGAAGCCCACGGGATGCGCTCCTGGCTCAGGGGCCGCCCGAGGCCCGCGCGGAGCTTCTGATGGAAAAGGATTTCCACGTTTAACATCCCCCCAGCTCGCTGACAGGCACGAGGGGAGGGATGAGGAAGGCAGATAGCCCGGAGAGGCTGATAAGGTGCTGGGGAAGATAACACAGGAATTGAACCGGGCTCCATGTGGAGAGCTGCTGCCTTAAACGTGTCCCAACCCCTCGGCTCCCGCGGCACGGATGGATGTTACACCTTGAGAGGTAAAAATAGCACATTTAATGAAGCTGGGAAAACGTCAATTGTGTTTTGTTGGAATTGCAGAGACCTCATTTCCACGTTGCCCATGAAAATGCGTCGGCTTTGGAACAGATATGAAAGCTCCACATGTTGATCTGCAAAATGAGCTTTGAGCAAGAAAACCAGTAGAAACCAAACAAAAAAACCCCGTTGTTCCATGACCCCAGGTTTGACCTTTATTGCTCTAACACAGCTCAGGTCTTCAGATTTTGGTCACCTGAGAAAAAAAAAAAAAGTTAGTGTATTTTAACCCTGCTGAATTTTTAATAGAAATTTCCAAACTGAATTCTGCTCCAGAATTGTGGGAATGTGTGGTGGAGGGGATGGAGGACAAGCCAGGGCTGCAAATGGATTTAGAGGAGCAGGGATGGACCATTTGCCTCTCCAACGCTGCCTTTGATTTAGGAGAGGGGAAATATCTGTCTCTGGAGAGGAAGGAAATGTCTTTGCTCACTTTAGCCCGGAGGGAAGGATGTGTCCTGGCCATTGTCCCAGTGCCACTCCAGGAGGATGGCGCTGGTATGGATTTTTGAGGGAGGAGGGCGGTGGGGAGGGCGGGGGACGCTCCCGCTGCCGTTTCGTTTCCCTCAGCAGCGCTGCGCTCACGCGCTCTCCAACAGGCCCATCCGTCACGCTCCTCGTTAGGGAAAATCCATTTTAAAAATCTCTAATTTTTATTTTAAAGTCTAATAGAGCTCGGTGGTAATTTTCACTTTAAATAACGATTACACGCCCTGGAGCACAAGGTGTGCCTGGGCTGCAGCCCCAGAGCCCCCGCCAGCGGGGCCCTGCCTGCTCCCTCCTCTGCAGGCAGGGCCCGAGTGACGCTGCTCGGAGCTCCACCAGTGCAAGTCCCACTTGCAGCCTTGGAGTCGGAATTTTACGTTTAGAGGGAGGAGTTAGGGGCAAACTTCTTGTTTGGAAGTGCCGAGGTGGGGCCCGATGCAGCCCTTGTGTGGAGAGGGTGACACGAGCTCCGCCGCTGCTCCCAGAGGGGCTTTGTAAAGGAGCATCCCCGAAACCCCGAGCCAGACGTGGCACCTCCCGGGAAGAGCCGAGAGCACCCTGAGAGAAACAGTGTAGGAGGAAAGAGAATTCAGCCCCTGAGGTTTTCGACCCTGCTCTCCCCTTTCTCATCCTCCCTGTTCCCTGCTGATTCCTGCCCCTGCCACTTCCCCTCTCCCTGACCCCAAAATGTGACCCGGGAGCACCTGGAGGAGCAGGGCTGGCTCTGCAGGATGGTGTGTCCCTGGCAAAGTCCTCTGCCACAGGGTGGGTTTTCCCATGGGAGCTGCCAGGGTGCTCCACAGAGGGATTGCCTTGCTGGGAGCACCATGTGCAGAGCCGGGGAGCTTTCGGTGTCCAAGGAAAACACGCGGCCACAGCCGAGCTGTGCCGGGGGCTCTGTGTGGGTTTGCTGCAGCCCAGGAACAGCCCCTGCAGGACTGGAAGCTCAGCTGGAGTTGGAGCAGAGCACTCAGGGAGCAGTAGGAGAGCATCCATGGGACACTCATGGGGGGGCTGCACAGAGCTGGGACAAAAAATGGGATTTCTGCAGGGCTGGAAACCCTCCCGGAGCACAGGAGCTGCTCTGGAGCCTTCCCTCAGCCTCCTCCTCTGTCTGCCTCTGCTGAGCTGCTCCCCAGCCATCAGCTCCAGCCAGGAATCGATTCCATCCAGCCCTCAATTCCATCCAGCCCTCAATTCCATCCAGCCACCAGCTCCATCCACTATCAGCTCCATCCAGCCACCAATTTCATGCAACCACCACCTCCATCCAGCCCTCAGTTCCATCCAGCCCTCAATTCCATCCAGCTCTCAATTCTATCCAGCAACCAGCTCCATCCAGCCCCCAACTCCATCCAGCCCCCAGCTCCAGCTGCTCTCCTGCACATCGACTCGTGACACAAGGTCTCAGCCCACCCAGCAGAGACAGATGTAGACCAAGACAGGCTGCTACACATTTCTGCTCGACAAGGTTAAGAACTCTCCACTGTCCCTGAGCAGCAGTGTTTTAATTACACAGGAGTATGGTAAGCAGGTTGTTTCCCTGCCTAGACCAGCTGAAAATTAAACCCTTTCCCCCCCCCCCTTTTTGGAAGGACTAGTTTCCAGTCGGACCAATTATTCAAAGTGTCTCAAAGGCACAAATTCCAGTGCCTTTATGGAGGGGGGGAGTGGCAGTGCAGGGCTTGGGGCAGGAGGAAGACAATACTGTATATTGGTGGCCTCGATGCAGAAGAACTTAAGCTGCTGTAGAAGCACATACTTAGATCTGAACAGTTTTAGGCAGCCAGATTTCAGTTTTGGTGGGGTTTTGGGCTTTTTTTTGGCTCGAGCTGCTGAGACCTGCCAGGCAAGCAAACAAACAGAGTCCCCTCCCTGTCCCCTGCACCCGCCAAGCCCCGTCCATCCCCAGCCACCCACCCCGAGAGCTGCCACCTCCCCTCCTCCCCCTCGGCCGGGGAGAACCCGCAAACCCACCCGAGCAACAAACAGAGAAAGAGATGCAAGGATGGAAAATTCCCCTTCATAATTAATAAATGAAGAATATTGTTGTTAATCGATGTAGCTGTGAAGAGAGTATCGATCCCAGCCGCATGCTATTTTTTGTGCGGCTTAGATTTTTACACCTCATTTAGAGGCAGGTCTCTCTGGGGACCTCTTAACACCAAAAGATATTTGCAAGAGTCCAAAGTAGAGGAGAAGAAAAGGGGGGAAAAAGATTAATTATTACCAGAGCTGGAGAATTATGTGCGTGTCCCATCGTGGGCAACTGCAGCAGTGATTTGAATATTTGATTAATAGCAATTATGGCTGCAGTTGATAACTTATCTCCACGCTGGATATTTAATAAACAAGCGGGAGCCATTACAAAGGTTTTTAATATTAATCCCAGGAAATTATGCTTGTGAAGGCAGTGCCTGCTGGGGCTGTGTGAGGAGGATGCTCTGTTCTCTTGCCTCATCCCGTTCTTGCGTGGTTTAAATCTCTCTGTGCCTCAGTTTTCCTTTTCCAAGATGGATAAATCCAGAGTTGGAAGTGGTGCTGGTTAAGGCACTGAGCAAGGAGCTCTCATTAGCACCAAACCTTTACTGAACAGCCAAGGAGATGGTTTGGGATGAGCTTTGGGAGCAGCTGGGGGGGCTGCTGGGGACGTTCTTCAAGGTCTCAGTGCAGGAGTGGGTTTGCTCCAGGAGGGATTTCATCCCAGCTGCTGGTTTGTGGCTCTGGGGTGATGCAGAGCAGGAGCCGTGTGCCAGACTATGTGTGGTGAGGAGATGGGCACAGACTTAGGTGCACCTGAAGTGTAAAGAGCAGGTCAAACAGCTGCAGAGAGCTGTGGCATTCCTGAAAACCCTGGCAAAAGCCCCGTGGAATGGGAGCACGGGATGCACAGAGTGCTGGGAGATGGGAATGTGAGCCATGAAACCTCTGTCGTGGCAGTCAGAAATCCCTCCCATTTCCAGGCTTTAAGAGAGAGCTGGGGAGGGGAGAAACTCATCCCTAAATAGGAGGGTGGTGCTGGATTCTGCCCCCCTGCCAGAACTGACAGGTTCTGCCAGTGCCACTTCCCCAGGGAGGGAGCAGAGGAATTTGGGTTTGGGGGGATGTTCAGAGCACATTTGTGAATTTGGGTCAAATTTCAGCCAGGGAGGGAAGGAAAAACGTGTGAGAGAAAAAAAAATAAAATTAGAAAACACCAAATGTTTGGCTTTCCACTGTCACAAAACCTTCCCCAGAATAAACACAGGGAGAAAGGTTCCCAAAAGAGGGGGAGGCTGAGCCTGCCTGAGGTGGATTAAACCTCAGCTTTCAGGCACAGTGCAAAGAGGGAATGGGCAGGAGGAGTGGGATTCTCCTCGGCAAGGCAAGGGGAGATCTTTAGGGTCCCCTCCAACCCGAATCATTCTATGGTTCTGTGAAAGCAGCACCCCCAGCCCTGGGGCTGTCACCCCCTGTGTCCCACGGGGTTTGCTGATGTGAGATGGCAGAGGGTACCCTTGCTCCAAAACACCTCCAAGACACTACCCAGGAGACAGGGAATGAAGTGAGGAAAGAAGGAACATGTGTAGGGAGTGGAAGAGGATGGGACAGGACCCACTGGGATGTCCCACCCCTGACAAGGTGCTCCCAAAACGCTGCCACTTCCCCCCGGCCCTGCCCTGAGCACAGTTCTGTCCCCTCTGCCTGTGGCAGCCCCGGGACGGGGGGCACCATCACAGCCCTGTGGAGGCGGGAGCAGCATTCCCGGGGAGAGCATTCCCGGGATGAGCATTCCCGGGATGAGCTCCCTCCTCCACGCCCCGGCAGGGCTCACGCATCCATCTCCTCCTCCGCCCGTGATAGGCCCTGGTGCTGCGGATCCATGCAGATCAATGCAAAATTAATTAGAGTAATCAACTCAGCTGTACCACAGAGATCATACAGGCAGGGTTTTAGGTGACTAATTGGTGGAAGCTGACAGCCAGTGTCCCCGGTGTCTTAGAGGTATTAACACTTTTTTCTCTGTAGATTAATTACCTTTTTCCACCTTTCACTTGATGGGCCTGCCCGTGCAGTGCTGGTTGGGGGGAGCAGTGATGGAGGCCAGGCCTGAGGAGCATCCCGTGGAGGGCAGTGCCCAGGTTTGGGGGCAGAAGAGCCCAGGTTGCAGTGTGGGGGACAGATTTTGCACCAGCAGCCTGATCAGGGGAGGGGGGGTGTCCCTGTCCCTCTGCTGGGCCTCCAGCCCTGTGTGATGGCAAAGCCCCCCTCGTGCACGTGCACAGCACAGGACACTCTCCCGTTGTGCCCTTCTCCTGTTGTGCCCTTCCCAGCTGATCCATGGACCCTCCAAGGCTGCATCCCCCCTTTTCCACCTGGGCTTGGGGTTTGACACCACTGGACCATCTTTTGGCAAAGGCTGGTGCCCACTCTGCCTGTCTGAGGGTGTTTCCCAGGTCCACGAGGAGGATAAAAGGTGAGTTTGTTCAAATACCAACGTGGGGGTTCTGTGACAGAGACCTAAGGAGGCCCCTGTGCTGCTGGAATCCAGGCTGGGAGCTGGGCAGGCGCTCCTAATGACCAGGGTAATTAATCACCACCAGTTATCTACCGCTGGAGATGGGTCCTCCATCACCTGCACTCGAAGTTGCCACTGGGCATCTTCCTGCTGAGTGTGCCCTGGCTTGGACAGAAATTATGGAGAGAGAGAGAGAGACAGAGACAGAGAGAGGGGGACATACCCTTGGCACTGCTGAGGCCCCACCTCAAATCCTGAGGGAAGTTCTGGGCCCCTCAGGACAAGAGGGACATTGAGGGGCTGGAGCGTGTCCAGGGAAGGGAACGGAGCTGGGGAAGGGGCTGGAGCAGCAGGAGCAGCTGAGGGAGCTGGGGGGGCTCAGCCTGGAGAAAAGGAGGCTCAGGGGGAACCTTCTGGCTCTGCAGCTCCCTGACGGGAGGATGGAGGTGGAGGGGGTCGAGCTCTGCTCCCAGGGAACAAGGGAAGGAAGCAGAGGAATTGGCCTCAAGCTGTGCTGGGGAGGTTGAGGTTGGATATTAGGGAAGTCTTCACTGAAAGTGTGGTCAGGCATTGGCACAGCTGCCCAGGGCAGCGGCAGAGTCACCATCCCTGGAAGGGTTGAAAACCACGAGTAGATGTGGCACTTTGTGGTGTGGCTTTGTGGGCACGGGGGCACTCGGGCGAAATTTGGACTTGGTGATCTTGGAAGACTTTCCCAATGTTTATGATTCTCTGATTCTCTGAGTCTGCAACAGTCCCTGGGGATGCTCCTGACGGCCTTCACACCACCGAGCCTGGGGAGAGAGGGGAGTCTCCCCTTGGCTTCCACAGATGACGAGCCAAAGCACGTGTGAGTAACCAAGGACAGCTGTGCCTTGGAGAAACAGGGCAAAGGCACCAGCAGGACATGGAGGAAGGCAGCAGAGTCCTCCTCCTGCCCAGGACACCCAGGACTGAAACCCAGCGAGTCGAGCCCTTGTAGTGGTTTCAGCCCAGGCCTTCCTGGCAACCAGGTCGAAGCCAGGGAAGTGGCCGTGTCCCAGTATTCCATCCTATTTCTTACATAAGCAAGAGTATAAATAAGAAGGGGAGAAGGAAGTTCCTTCTTCTTCTCTTCTCATGGACTTGAAGACAGCAGGTCCCTGTGGCCGGCCTTGTTTTTGTGGGATTGAGGCCTGCTGTGGCCTGTTGTTCTCCCGATCCGTGTGGAGAGATCTGGCAGAGTGGCTTTTGTCTTCTTGAGGAAAGTATTAAAATTTTGGTTTGTTAGTTCCTTATTAGGTGGGTATATCTGTTGTTCCTGGTTTTGGGGGGTTGGGGTCCTCTTTTCTTATATGTATATAGTGTTTTTGTAACTGCAAATAGGCGTAAATATATACATGTTGCTTTAGTTCAGTTTATATCGGGTCCTTTGGGGTTTTTTTTCCCTTTTTCACTTGAACAAGGGGAGGGAGCTTTTTGGAGTAGGTTCAGGAACTTGGTGGGGAGCCAGGTCCAAACCACGACAGCCCTTGGGTGTCACTTGTCCCCTCGAATCCTGGGAGACGTTTTGGGGGAACCTCCACCAGGCCAGTCCAGGGGCAGCTTTCCCAGCCAAGCCTTGGTCTTTGGCTGCCCAAAGGGAAGGTGTTAAATCCAGCCTGGTCACTGCGTTGAGGCCATCAGGGAAGGATCTCCACCCTCAGAGAGCCATTTGTCCCCTGTGACGGCCGGTGTCCGATAGCCAGGATGAATTGTCCTCTCGGGGAGGGCCCCTCTCCCCACCCAGCTGCCACGGCCACCTCGCTCAGGTGATGGGAGATGGATCCTGCCATCATTGATCAAGGGCTCGATCTCGGGAGCGGGTTTTATTGGCAGAGATAACAGAGAGGAGAGAGGGAAGCACCAGTCAGGGAAGCAAGAGCCTCCCAGCCCAGGCAGCTCACGGGCACGGCAAGAGCAGCGCCGGCGAGATGGAGCTGCTGCTTTGGGCAGGGGGGGAAGTGGAGCCACCAGAAGGTGTCGTTTCTTACAGGAACATCCAGAGAGGGGGTTATGCCCAAGGACAAGCAGTGCCTGCTCCGAGGAGCTCAGCAGCAGGGACAAGCAGTGGATTTAAACTGGAACAAAATGGGGTTAGATAGAATATCAGGGAGGAATTGTTCCCTGGGAGGGTGGGGAGGCTCTGGCAAAGGTTGCCCAGAGCAGCTGTGGCTGCCCCATCCCTGGAAGTGTCCCAGGCCAGGCTGGACGGGGCTTGGAGCAACCTGGGCTGGTGGAAGGTGTCCCTGCCCATGGCAGGGGGTGGCACTGGATGGGCTTTAAGGTCCCCTCCAACCCAAACTGTTCCGTGGTTCTATGATGACAGAGAGCTACAGGTGGTGACCTGTGGAGCCAGTGGCCAGGTAGTGACTCTGTGGTGGAGCTGACACCCAACTCCAAATCTCAGCAGCGTCAGACTTGCATCAAAACCTCAATCCTCCCTTTGTATTTACTTAAAATAAAAAAGCAAACCCCTGTACCTTTCCGGCAAGGGAAAAGACAACTTCTCCAGGCAAAGACAACTTCTCCAGGCAAAGCACCTCTCTTTCCATGTGGTTTCAGGCAGCCCCCTCCAAAAACCAAACTTCCAGGTGTTGTGGCCTGGAGGGGAGAGGTTAAGGGTGACAAAGGGTCGTGCAGGGAGGGCAGCTGTTGTGTCCCACAGCAGCTCGGCTGGTCCCTCGCCCTGGCAGGACCTGACCAACATCACCGCCCTCAGATGGGGTGGGCAGAGGATGCTCGTGCCTGGCTGTGTTCCCTGGCTTGGTACCTAATTCCTGGTGGCACCAGGTAAGTCCCAGCATCCCAGAGGGCTCAATACCTCCATACTGGGGTGGCCTCACCTGGAATACTGCGGCAGTTTTGGGCACCACAATGTCAGAAGGATCTGAAGCCATTGGAGAGTGTCCAAAGGAGGACAATGGAGATGGGGACAGGCCTTGATTTGAAGCTGTGTGAGGACACTGAGGGCACTTGGTGTGTTCAGCTGGAGCAGAGGAGACTGAGGGGAGACCTCAGTGCAGTTCCAACTTGCTGGGCAGGGGCAGAGGAGGGGCAGGGACTGAGCTCTGCTCTGGGGGGACCAGGGACAGCACCCAGGGAAGGGCTGGAGCTGTGCCAGGGCAGGATTAGGTTGGATCTCAGGAAAAGATTCTTCCCCAGAGGGTGGTTGGCACTGCCCAGGCTCCCCAGGGCAGTGGGCACAGCCCCAAGGCTGCCAGAGCTCCAGGAGCATTTGGATGATCCTCTGGGGCACAGGGAGTGACTCTTGGGGATGGGCCTGTGTAGGGCTGAGGGTTGGACTCGATGATCCTTGTGGGTCCCTTCCAGCTCAGCACACTCCGTGGTTCTGTGCTGACACCCACCCACACCCACACCCACACCCACACTGTCTCCAGGGCACTGAGGAGCAAAAATTCCCTCCCAGCTCATGACCCAACCACCACCTCCCCGGCAGGCAGGGGCTGAAGGAGGGGGATTATTCACTGCTCAGCTCCCAACACCAGAGCCAGCACTTTAGAGTGCTTTCATCCCTGAAAGCTTCGGCGGGGAAGAAAGGAGAGTGGACTGATCCCCAACAGCACCGTAAGTGCTTTCCTTTTTTAACAAAGCATCAGCCAGGAGGGAGCAGGGGGGCCAGGGCTGAGCAGCCCCTGCTCCAGCACAAGGCACAACCCCTCCTGCCGTGGGTTATTGGGATTTGCCCAACCTCAAAAATAAATCTTCCCCAGTTTCCTTTTATAGGGCCTTTCAAGCTCTATCCCCCAGGTCCTCGTGGAGGGTAATGAACACGCAAGGCATGGCTTGGAGCTGCTTGAATTATTCATTGGGAATAATATTTGTTGCCCTTCTCCTCTCCTGGTGAATCAATGGAGAATTTATGGGCGAGGGTCCCCGTTATTGGGGGGCTGTTGGCTCTGTGGGCAGCAGCATTTGGAAGAAATGGGGTGTTCACCATCCTCTGCCTCTGGGCACACAGATCCTCACCCCGGGCACGGCTGCAGGGGCTTCAGTGGTTGTTGGCCAAAGCCAAGGCTGGACTCTCCTGGGGGAGGCACAGAAGCAGAAGGGGAGGGTGGTCCATGTGGGAGGGATGGCTTCAGATCCCCCCAGCAACACCTGAGCAGCCCTGGGAGCACCCCGTGCACAGGGACACCGTGGACACGTGGTGTCCATGAGATCACCTGGCACAGCCCAGACATGTCCCATCCCATCCTCGCTGGCTTATTTAGGAAGTTGGGGTTCCCAGACTGAAGAAGGGGCTTAATAGACACATTTAAAGCAGAGTGATGCTCCCAGAAAGGCTCTGTACACAAGTGCACTGCTGAGCAGGAGTCCAAGGAAACCTCTAGAAGACCTTCCCACCCCTACTGCTGGCTCCGAGTTCTCAGCTTGTGCATCCTTCAGCCTGGAGCAGGGCAAGGGTAAATCTCATTTCTGCCTCCATGTGGGTAGTTAGTGCTGTGATGAGCCCTGTCTCCCACCCCACCCCATCCCATCCCATCCCATCTCACCCCACCCCATCCCACCCCAGCTGGGGAGCTGGAGACGTGTTTCTGAGAGCTCCTTTGTGAGGGAATTGCAGTTGTAACCCAGCTGCCCACTGATTTTGCAGGGGTTCATCCCACCTTTGTGCTCTTTTCCCCCTGGCAAGGATGAGGATCTCACCAGCAGCTCCCTGGACCAACACCAGAGCAGCAGGGTGAGAGCTCCATGGACAGGTCTTCTTGCAGAGCCACAGAGGAGCTTTGGGGAAAGGCCCTTTCCCAGCTCCTTTTGGGATGGGAAGAGCCTTGCCTGGAGCCAGGGAACCTCACAAGGCAGTTGCCTGTAGATGGCTCAGAGCCAGGAAAAGCAACATCTTGGGTCTGGATTTAAAGAAAAGATCCCAGAATCCCAGAATGGTTTGGGTGGGAAGGGACCTTAAAGCCCATCTCATCCCACCTTCCACCAGCCCAGGTTGCTCCAACCTGGCCTTGAACACTTCCAGGGACGGGGCAGGATCTGACAGCGGGCTCAGCCTCCTGCAAGCTGCACTGAAGACCAGGGATTTCAAACCAGCTTTTCCTTCAGCAACACCTCCTGACAGGTAAAACTTGACTTTTGGATCCGAGATCTGGACCTGAATCTGCTTCACTCCCAAAAAATCCAGGAGGGCTTTACCAACCTCCATCCCCCAAGCCCCGACACCCAGCAGGGGTGGGGCCGGACCCGGGGTCTCCCCCTTTGTCACCCACCACCTCAAAGTGACAGCGGGGAGGTGGCTCTGGCTTGTCAAGGTGGCACAGCGTCATCCAAGCGCTGGCCCGCGGGAAGGAGAAGAGCCCTAACGCAGTTTTGACAACGGGGCCATCAGTTAAATGCTCCGTGCGGGTGCTTTTCCCTCTCTCTATTGTTTATTATTGGAAGTTACAAGTAGCTAAAGACCTCCCCAATTATCTGGGAGCCACTTAAGAGCAATTGAGCACCTGTCACCCAGTGAATGGGCCGCCTCGCCCTAATGACAGGAGAGGAGAAAAGCTGCAGGTCAGCGGGGTTGGGGATGCCGGGATTTACTGCCGGGCAGGGCCCGCTCCCAGCGCCGGGAAGGGCGGAAAAAACACCCCCAGAGGCAGGAGGAGGAAAGGAGCCCGGAGGAGTCTCCCTCGTGGGATGGGTGAGAGACTCGACGGCCGCAGCCTGAGGGTCATCTCTTGGTCCGCGGAGCTCTGCAGCTCCCGGCATCCCGGGGGATGTGGAGCGGGTCATGCCATTAACGGCTCAGTCCCGTAAATAGGGAGGGAAAAAAAATCCAGGAATCGTTCGCTGACCGTCAGCCAGCAGGAAAAAAAATCACCTGTGCTTTCTTCCCCTGCTGGTGATGAGTGGGTGCACATCCCACACCGGGGGGGGGGTTGGCTGCTGGAAGGGCTGGAGGTGCTGCAAACCCCCAGTGCAGAGCCTGGACCTGCGGGATTGTGGCTGCATTTCCCATACAAGGACACTTGAGACAGCTCTGGATGTGAGCTCGTGGAAACATTTGCTTTTGAGGCATCATTTTGATTGGATTCATTGTAATTTCTGTGTAATATGAGTGTATCAAGTGGGTCAATTGTATAGAATGGCATGAAGAAAAAAACCCCACAACCGAACAGCAGCCAAACCTGAGGTGATGTTCCCCCCCCCACGAAGGAGAAAATACGTGCCTAAAACATCCTAAAAATCCCGTTGCAGGAGGTTGCACTCAGCTCTCTGATACAAAGCCTGGTTCCATTCCCAGCAAACCAAACCTGAACGCAGCCTCTTCCCTCCTGCCCTGCCTCGGGAGCGACTGGGAACGACTCTCCCAGGAAGAGCAGAGGTTTTCCTCCAGAAGGAAGAAACCTTTCCACGCACGAGCGGCCCCCTCCTGCAGGGAACTCCAGCTTTGGGGGCAGCTTTTTGGAGCAAGGAGGGGAGGAGGGGCTGGATCGCCCAAGCTGGGGGTGTGCCCGGGAAGTGGGGGGCTGGGAGGAGCGGGAATGGGGGAGAAGGTGCCAACCTGGAAAAGTCCATCGATAGAAACATAAAATTAAAATAATTTGCGTCAATTCTGCTGAGTGGCTGTTAGGCCTAATTGTTATTGACTCCTCACTGTAATTATTAAGGCTTACACAGAGCTCGGCTGGCAAAGGAGGTGGGTTTGGGACCCCCCCCCCCCGCCCCAACAGCATGTCCCCACATCCCAGCAGGGCTGGGAGGGGGGGGAAGGGACATGTTACCTCCTTGGTTCTTGGAAACAGCCCCCAGGAAGTCACCAACAGAGCAAGGGGGGGAGTTTGGGCCGTTTTTGGTGGGCAGGAGCAAGAGGGGAGCTGGAGAAGAGACGAGCGAGGGGAAAACCGAGGGCAGATGGGAGGAACGGGAATGGGAGGAAGGAGGAGGCAGCTCCAGAGAGACCCCGTAGGCTCTGGCAGAGCTGTTTGCTTGGTGTGGTGCCGGGTAATTTTCTCCCCTCCTTCCCCCGGCCTTTGTTTCTGCTGCCAGCACAGACCCCGAGCAGCAGAGGAGGCTGATCAATAGGAACACGGTGTTTGCATGGATCATACATGCCAAGAGCACGTTCCCGGATCAATGCCGAGGGCTCGCAGAAGGAGAAGAAGGGAGGGGAAAAAAAAAACCCCACCCTGCCAGGATGCACATCCACACAGGATGGACCGTTTCCATGGCGATGGGGCTGCTCTCCCTGTCCTCTGCAGCCGTGGGGACCCTGCTCAGCACCCCAAGGCCAGGATCCCACCGGGATCTCCACCTGCCGAGGGGGGTCCAGCTGCCCTCGTGGGGGTCAACCCCCCCAGGTCAGCTCTGCCCACGGGCTGGATGAGGCCCCTCACATGAAGTGACGTGGGGTGTTACCGCCCTACGTCCAGCAGTGGAGAAGATCCTCGTCCTGTTTTTCCTCCCTCCCACAGGCCACGGCTGAAATCGCAGCTCCCAGCTGCCGGTGAGCCCGCGCGGGATCCCCGACTCCACCTCCCTACCTGCCTCCTTCCCCCGGGGGCTCGGAGGAATTAATTAGATCAGGTCTTTAAAGTGCTCTGGAAATGAAAAGCACTTGAGAAAAGTGGTCAGAAACCTGAACGGAGCCAGAGGTTGCCCAGCCAAGGATGGACATTCCCTGCTTTTTCTCCGTGCAAGGAAAGACACCCCGAGCCAAAAATCCCACCCAAGTCCCCCCAACCAGCCCTCGTGGGGTTCTCTCGCCCACCTTCCACGCTGGGCTTCACCTGTGGCTGCGCAGAGGGGAGGGAGGTTGGCTCTGCAGCAGAGCCAGCCAATAATTCCCAGCCAATAAAGTTATCTAAGGGTAATCATTAAGCCCTTACGAGCAGTGCAGCTCGTGTGGAGCCGGGGGAGGCACCGCTGCAAACGCCCTTCAGAGAGCGCCTGACCTTGGCCAGGCAGAGCCAGGCGCTGGCTCCAGACCCCCCCCGAATTTGGGGATGGAAGACAGGTGTCCTGGAGAGCAGTCAAAGGGCTGGTGGTGGCAACCACGGCCAACTCCTGCTTCCAGCAGTCCCGGCCCTCCTGCGGCAAGGAAAGGGCACGGGGCAGGGGGAGGAGCTGGGAGCACACGGGGCACAACTGGAGCTCTGAGAAGAGCTCCCGAGCATCCCCCACCCGCCCCTGAAGTTGGGCAGTTGTCATCCATGAGGGCAAATTGTGGATGAGAAGCTCCAAATGCCCCGGCTGCATGTGCTGGCACCCAGAACCCCCCGTGCCCTGGGCTGGTCCCACAGTGTGGGCAGCAGGGGAGGGGGGATTCTGCCCCTCTGCCCCCTCAGGTGAGACCCCCCTGCAGACCTGCCTCCAGCCCTGGGAAACAACAGCACAAGGACGTGGAGCTGCTGGAGAGAGTCCAGAGGAGGCCCCGGAGATGCTCCAGGGCTGGAGCCCCTCTGCTCTGGAGCCAGGCTGGGAGAGCTGGGGGGGTTCACCTGGAGGAGAGAAGGCTCCAGGGAGAGCTGAGAGCCCCTTGCAGGGCCTAAAGGGGCTCCAGGAGAGCTGGAGAGGGACTGGGGACAAGGGATGGAGGGACAGGACAAGGGGGAATGGCTTCCCAGTGCCAGAGGGCAGGGTTAGATGGGATACTGGGAAGGAATTGTTGACTGTGAGGGTGGGAAGGGGCTGTCCCAGGTTTCCCAGAGCAGCTGTGGCTGCCCCTGGATCCCTGGAAGTGTCCCAGGCCAGGTTGGACGGGGCTTGGATCAACCTGGGCTAGTGGAAGGTGTCCCTGCCCATGGCAGGGGGTGGCACTGGATGGGCTTTAAGTTCCTTTCCAACCCAAACCGTTTTGTGATTCTACGAAATCCCATCCTTGGAGCACCAGAGCTGCTTCCCAAAGCAGCTGCCCCTGGTGCTGGCAGCCTGTGGGCAGAGCTGCCTCCAAAGGGTCTCTGGCAGGGTTTGTCTTGGCACCACCCTGGCCCCTGCTGTGGCGTGAAACATTTTTTTTTAATCAGCCAGGAAGTAAATTAAAAAAGTTGGCTGTGCAGGAATTAGGCCTTTTGGCTGATAGTTTGGGAAGCATCTGTCTCCATTGCCTGCAAATTAGTCTTCCACAGGAGAGTAATCAGATGGTAAATGCAGCCACAAATGAAATCACCCCTCATTAACTATGCAAACCAAGAGGTCTGTAAAGGATCAGCCCAACAAACCCCCCTGGAGGGAGGGCAGGGGAGCTGGGCAGGGACTGGGGTCACCTCTGGTGCCATGAGATGGGCTGGGGGCACTGGGACCATCTGGGAGTTGTGCTCTGAGCAGGAGGCCTCACCTGCCTGAGGAGGACGTGGAGGGGGTGTCTTGGATGAACGGAAGCCCAGATGGTGTATTTGGAGCAAAACCAGACACCAGGCAAAAAAAATGCTGGTTTGGGAAGGGTGAGGGGTCAGTGAGGCCGAGTCCCAGGTCCTGCTGGTCCCTGGAGAGCTGACTTTCAGTTCTCTAAGGCAGCATCACCTGTAAATGCAGCCTCTGGGTGGGCCATGAGCACCCCATGGAGAGGCAGCATTTCCTCCTCCTCCTCACCATCCTGCCCACCCACCACCCTGTCCTGGAGCTCCAGGGTGGCCCTGCTGCATCCACAGGCCCAGGTGGACGAAGGGACGTGTGGGACAGGGGGTGCACTGGGATGTCCTGGCAGAAACAGCCCCTGTAGTGACATTCCTGGCCGGTGCAGCAGGAGAATCACTCAGGATTGAATGCTGGGTGACAGACTGGTGGTTTGGAGCTGGGAAAAACAAGGGTCAGAGGGCCTTTTCTCCTATTTTGGTCTCTCCAAACTCCTGGGAAAGAGTGGGGAAAGGAAAAACCAAACCAAGCAGCAATCCCCCCCAGCAGTCCCAGGAGAGGGGACGCTGCAGATGTTGCCAGCTGTGCCCTGCCTTGCCAGTGGCCCCGGGGAAACCCCTGCACCCACAGGTGCCTCTTCCCCAGAGCCTGTTTGGACTGGAAGTTCATCATCACGACACAGAGGGGAAAAAAAAAAGGGAATTTTTGGTCCCCCAGTGACACCCCCACAAACACGTGACAAACACGGGGAGCCAGGGAGACATTTACCCCTGTGAGAGAGGTCGGCACAGAGGTTAGGCAGCATCTGAGCCCTGGGGACCTGCCTCCATCCACAGGGCTGTGCTCTGCCCTTAAAGAGTAATCCCTTAAAGATGACTTTTCCGGCGGAGAAGGGGAGGAGACGGGGGCAGTGTGAGAGCCTGCGTGCGGCAGGACCGGGTTCTTTGTTGCCTGGAGCTTGTTAAATCCATACATTGAAGAGAAGAATAAATAAAAAATCAAATCTCTACTTCTGAAAAGCGTTTCTGTGGGGAGCTGCTTCCCTGAATCTTCCAGCCCCGGCCCCTGTCGATAAATCAATAGCTGATGCAGGTCGGCTGCAATCGGCTGCAGGAGAGCAGGCGTGTGATGGATGGACAGGAGAGAGGAGGATCTAAGAGATAGGGCAGAGGTGATGCTCACCTTGAGCTTTATTGTTTGCCACTGAAAGGCAAGGTGGTGTGGAGGCATCAGCTGAAGTGGTGACAGCACAAACGCCCCCTCCTCCAAGCCCACCTCTCCCGGAGAGCCCGCCGTGCCTCTCCTCCAGCATTTATCCCGGGCTCTCACCACACAGATGGGTAAAGGGAGGTGAGGAGAGAAGCTGAAGGATGCTCCAAGTGGCTGAGAAAGGAGGGAAGGCCCTCAGGCCCCTGCTCAGGTGTTTCTTGTGCCTTGAAGCCCTTCAGTGTTGGCTGCAAGGGGATCTCGTTGCTCCTGCCTGGTGAGGAGGGGGGGGCATGGGAGAGGAATGTGGGCTTTGCACAGCTGGTTTCCCGGGATTTAAGCTCAGCATCAGAAAGGGGACAACTGAGCCAGGGAAGGGAGGATTAGATCTGCTGGTTTGGAGTCTGGCTCAGGCAGCACAGCCCAAACCCAGCCCAGCCCAGAGACCAGCCTGGAGCAGTGTCGGGCTTCCATCAGCCTGACTCAGGAGGTGAAATCTGTCCTCCTGTCCCAGGGATTTGCTCTTCCCTCCCCTGAACTCCAGGAGAGCCTTGGGACCCTCCCTGTCCCCTGGGATGGATGCTTGAGGAGAGCTGGTGAGCAATGAGGTGACACTTGTCCTGCTGAACAATTTCTCCTTATTTTCACCTTTAATGAGTTGTTTGGCTGGGGCTGCACTGGCCACCCCCTGTAACTGCCCTCAAGGGCTCATTCCAGCCCCTCCAAACACGTTTATGCTTTGGGTGCAGAGACAGGGAGTTCCTAAACACAAGGAAACACAGTGGGAAGAAGATTCCCTCTGGTTTGCTCTGAGCCTGCTTATCAGGGAGATTTTGGGGGGGGGGGGTTGAAAACCTCCAAATTCCATTAGGAAAACAAGAAAACAACCATTTTCCCTCTTCTCCAGGCTGATCACAACCTTAGG